GATTCCGTCACTGTCTCCCAAGAATAATCCCTCCAGAGTGTAATTAATGTGATAGGAATATTCTTCTCTATCACTAAAGTAATAGTCCTAAGAAATATATCATCTCCTTAAGGAATAAAATATCTATGGATTAAGCTAAAAGATAACTCTGGGCATGTTACGAGGGTATGGAATTTTTTTATTTATTTTTTACACGTATTAACAGAGGGTTCATTTCCTAATTCATCTCAGCTTCCCATCTTGTTCTGTCAGTTTAAGCTTAATAATTCTGGAGGACGGAATCTTACCTACAAGAAACCTTAGTCTTTAGGATTGATAAACAGGAACAGACTAATATAGCAAACCTCCAAGGAGATTTTATCGGCATAGTGAGAGATTGGATTTATTCAAATTCTTTGTTTATTCCTTTCTCTCGTCCGGCTAATATTTAAACAACAAAAATCAGAGGAACGAACATCTACAATTCTATGTCCTTTTCTAGTACAGAAAATAAGACTCTCGTGATATATTTCCTATGATTCCCAATGTATTAACTAAGGAAATCATTATAGAAGGTCTAATTACTTATTTATCAAAAGATATAAGGGTATATAACTAATATTATGGAATCCCCGATCTATCATAAAAGCCTTAAGCGAATTAAGCTAAGAGAAAGGGGAAGTAATATAATCAACAACCCAAAAGAATAATGTGTCTGACAGCCCCTAAGTATTATATGATATGAATGTACATTAATAATTAGTAGAGTTCTAAAGTTACTAAATAATAGGAAAAGACTGCTTAGTGTTCTATCCTAATCGGGATTAGATTTAAATTAGTCCATAAAACAAAACAAAGGTTTCGCCCACAACAGGAGCATGTAATTAAGTTACTGAAGGAGTAATTGTGGAATGATGGTGAAATCTAAAGAAGATCTAAAAAAAATCAGTTCCTATACCAGCACTTATAATTTATAGAAAATCGTCTAAGCCAGATGTTTAGTCCTTAACTCTTTTTATTTCCTCGTAATAAAAGCCCGCATATGACAGGTCATATATACAATTTCCTCAAATGAATCTGATAATCACGTAGGAATAGCACATTTCTTAACAACTCGATCAAAGGAAGCTCCAACAAAGAAGATGCTTCCCCAACAAAATATGTTATTAAACCTCGGCTCATGACGGCAGATTAATATGTCCAATAGGACAAGTGAGAAAACGAACAAATTGTTTAATATATAGGAAATACAGCCAAGTGATAAACACATTAGAATCAGAAAGAAATAAAAAATCGAACCCAGCCTTCTAGGACCAGAATGTTGAGCTGGTGATGAATAAATCAGGACCAGAGCCATGACAAGCATATCAGGAGCTGATCAGCCATCCAGAGCAGAAAGGATACTGCAAGAGGATGATCCCTAAGACCTCGACCTGCTGCGTATCCCAAATCATAATCAGGAAAACCGGGTTATCACTAGCAAACAAAAACCGACGCCCGTTCTCTCCAATATATCTCAGAATCATCTAGCTCTGAGACAGATTGGAAAGGAGGAAATCACTGACACAAATCCGAACTCCTCGACTGATTCAAACAAATTGCCGAGTACTACTAAAAAATCGATTACTTTCACCCGGAGTCCGAACCTAAGATCTTATGGATCGAAAAAAAGGTAAAACCAACAGCACCAGAATCTGAAGACAGAAGATCAAATCAAGACACTACAGAAAGTATCATAACATCCCTGCCCGCCCACGTGCCTCAACTGGATAAGGACGCAATAGCTTCTCTGTAATGTTGGGTGAAATCTGACGGCAAACATACGAGCCATATCTGGATGACTAGTATAGTCCCGATTATGAACAACCCCAAAGAAAATGAGCCAAACCGCAGCCAGAACGCGCAACAAAGACTAAACCAGAAAAAATAACCACAACGGAAATGAACAGCTGACAACTACACCAGGTTAAATAAAGAACTTTAAGACAAGCCACCCAAGTCAAGACACCTGAATTTCCCCGCCCAACAAAGAACAGGCGGATTCAAGGGTAACATAAGACTAAACTAACCGAAAACAACTCAAAATCCCCAGAAGCAAGTGGCCATTTAAGGATGAACTGACCGTAGGTGAACAATCCCAAGAGGAATCTTCGGAAAGGCGAAGAGAACCTGCTAAAAAAAGAGACATAACTATCCGAACGGACCCCAAGAAAACGTATCAGCCGACTACTAAGTATCCGTTGAGAAAGCAAATCTAAATATCAGCCAAGACTAAGACGAAACAGTCAACTCCCCATCAAAAATAACGACCCAAAGGGACGCCTACAACAACTGAGCGTAGAAACTAAGACTGAACCCACTCCGGAACTGGCGGAAAACAACAAGTGTAAGCTCCAGAGCCGAGGAGAAGGGGGACAACAGACCAAAAGGCAGAAGCTGCTAGAAAGGGAGAATCAACGATTACCAGCAAGAATAAGAGGAAGAGTGAGTCTAGACAGCCGAAAATCAAACCAAGGAAAAAAGGCCAGTGAAGTCGGAGTCTTCAAAACAAGAAATCATCGAGAGATCTAGAGTCCTTCGTAAAGGAAAGTAGAAGACGGAACCAGTTCCTGAGGACCGCAACTCACATGACTCAGGAAAGTCAAAAATCCAGCCAAGGCCAGGATAAGACCACCCCCCGAACTAAGTACAAAAGTACGGGTGATTTCGGGAAACATGAGGCGAATGAAAACGTGAACTTGAAGAGAACATACCCAAATACAGAAGTAAAACAGTAACAGACCAGACAGAATCAGCTTGAATCAGAAGCGGAAGAGAGTCCCCAGAAATTGACAAGTGGGAAGAGTGATTATTCTTAGAACGAACGCCCGAGCAATTCAGAAACTCCAGGGGAGATGGGAACTCCACTCAGAAGAAACCTCAAATCGTCTAAACCGAGGAGTCAGTTGACAGATGATATAATATTCCTCTAAGATTTTTCCGACGACTCATCAGGCTCCTCCTCTCTCTAGAGCCAAGACGGACTAGACCAAAGAATAGTGACCAGGGGCTACCAAAGCCGATCTAGTAGCACACCCGACCTTCAAAGCACTAGCTGATCTCTCCTCTCGGTAAATGAGGAGGATTAAAAATCACACAAGACTCAAGCCCGCTGAAAAAAAAGGGCCAAGGCGGCTCTACCCCCCCTTTCAAAGAAGAAGGGAACAATCCCACCAAGTCCCGAATCTCGCATGGACACCCAACCAGGAACATGGATTCCAACATCAAATTCAACCATCATTTCAAGTGGGGGAGAGGGACCCAGAGCCCAAGAACAGAGCGTAAGGCGGAGTAGGCAGTAGAAATCCGGAAAAAGGCATGAGACTCAAGCCGAAGCAACAGCTTAAAACCCTCGGATCAGAGGGCGCCATAACGCTGAAGGCGGCAGGTCAGAACCTCTCCTGTATGACAGAACGTTGGACTGAAAACTCCAGAGAGCACCCCAAGTTCGACGAGAGTTCAATCTCGAGCAGACAATGAGAATCCTCCAGCAGGCGGACTAAGGGTTTCTTCAGAACACCACCCCTCCTTCCAAAAGACGAAGAGGAGGGGCGTATCGCAAGTGAGGAAGACCAGATGAGGCGGAGGCAGATTTCATACCGAGGGGTGAAGGGAAAGATAGAAACTGGACTCTCACTGACGGGAAGGAGCTCTAGCCAAGAGGAGGATAAGAGACACTAATTCCGAGACGATCACAACTATCCGGACAAGACTATGAATCTTCACGAAACCGGAGCCGCATCACAGAAAACACCAGGGATCCGTAGGAACTCCAACAAAGAAAAAACCAGGGAAATCAAACGTGCAAGGAACACTTAAGGCAAACCTGAAGGAGGAATTCCCACAGAGGGTGAAATTTTCAGGACAGGACTGCACCATCCGGGGGGTGAAGGAGCCACCGACGTGACAGGAGCAGTAGACGGACAAGGGATCATTACGGAATATGAGAAGAATAGGGGACGAATGAGACAGGACGTCCGCCGAGAGCCAATAAATGAGTTGTACGGAGTCAGGCACAGCAGGAAACGACCCACCAGAGGATCGAAGAGCAGTTTAAAGGGGAAAGGAGCAATCTATATATTAAGCAACCACAGGCCAACCAGCGGAAAAATCACAAGATTCCCCGGCTCAAGGAAATCGAAGAAGAGAGAAGAGGATTAGAGTGTCTGAAGGTCAAGTGAGCTTTGTAATGAAAGGGGAGCATTCCCCCCCCCCCGCCAGAGGAAAGCCATGTAGACCCCCTGGTACCTACGCACTCTCAACCCCGAGCACAACCCCACCAGGAAGGGAGAGTTTTGGGGGGAAGGATCTAGGACATATGAGTAAACCTAGATGAAATGATCATCCTAACAGGCGGAGCACTTGGCTCAGCCGAGGGATGACAACAAACTAAGCAGGAAAGGTAAGAGAAAGATAGCAGAGACTGAGAGACTGCCAGACGCGCGCCTCCACGAGGATATCATCATGACATGAGAGGGGGCTTATAGGGGACCTCCGGGGTAATTCAAATAGATAAAAGAAAGACGAAGGAATATGCGTACGTAACCTCTGCGTCCGGAGGAGGGCGAAAGCCCCTTCGCCATTAACGAGAGGAGGAGTGGAGATACGAAACAGAAAATCAAAGAGAAGCTTTCTGGGAGAGAAACGCCCAAAATTCTCGTCCATGGACTAGTTCTGAAATAACGACTAATGACCGTGAGTCCTAGTTAGGGACACAGCCCCGCTTGAAGGCACATGTGGCCAAGAATCGGCACATGCAGCCCGAATCTCAGCCATCACTGATACAACAGATAAGAGAGAATATGACAGACGAGAAGTGAGAATCTGACGTAGAGTAGCATCGGGAGCTGCTGAAGACAAGACAAGAGAAGAGAAGAGGAGGAAGAATATGCGAGTCACGAAACTGTGGACAGGATGGCAATTGCCCGAGACGCATCTGATTCAATTCCGTCAGGGGCTAATTGAAGAACGACAAGAAAAAGTCGAAGGATGCCCAAAGTTAAGAGCATCTCCACTCCTGAACCAGCACGAAGGAGGACTCCCACCAGAGAACAGGGACAATCCTAGAAGATGTGGATTCTGCGCCGAGGCAAAGATAGCGTCTGAGGAGTCTGTATAGGGCCACCTCCTGGGGAGCTTGTGTGATATCTGACTAAGATGTGAACGCCATGCCGGTGAAGTCTTCATGAGCAGTCAGCAGGAGGTGAACAGACTCATTGTCTAAGAGCGTCAGGGAGTATAAAACAAAAAAGTTATGAAGGACGTGGACAGAAATAAGCCAAGACGTAAGAAATGCCGGGTAAAGATTCCTGCGATGAGAAATCACCGAAGCCGAGTGAAGTAACTGAGTAGCGAGCTGATTCCCCCCCCCAGGCCGAAGAGGCTGCTAGAATATCTAGGAGGGAGGGGTTAGATTTCGTAAGAAACATCGAGGAGAAGTGACAAAGGATGAGATCAAACGACACCATGACACACAACAGACGACCTGGAGTCGGATGACTCAGGAGCAACCGAAAGGGGAGGAACGTTACATCAGAGATCATAGAACAGGCGGACCCCTAAGGGAGACGGCTTATAGTGCGGGTGTAACTGATCCCCCTCATCACACCCCGGCAGCTGGAGAGATTAGAGATCGGGTGATAACACCCTATCCGAGACAGGAGATAGGGGACACCCAGCCCCTCAGCATCAGGAGGTAGACAAGGGGCGATCCGTAACTCGGGGACGCCTCCAAGAACCAGGAAAGAGGGCCCAGAAGAATGCGGTGGAGAGGCAAGAAATCATCAAGTATCTTAAGCTGTAGACTGAGGACAGTTAAGAATATCCAGACGAGGGATCCCCTAAAAAGTGATGACTTACACAAGCTAAAGTAAAGAATAGAATCTGACCCAAAGGAGGAGGAAACTGCACAGTGAAGAATTACTTACCTGATCTTCAACGACGACTAGAACCAGAACCCAGGAGGGGAAACTCCTGCAGGAGCAAGAACGGCTCGGCCCAATGAACCCGCATCAAGATCCCTGGCGAGTGAGGATTAACGGCCCAGCCACCCAAGAGTATGAAGGCCCTATAGCTGGTGACACCGGAGCTTGTGACGGAGGTAGCCGAAGGCCATTCTGTCTTGGAACATTTGGGAGCGGATCACATGCAGTGGCTGGGTTTTTAGGGAAGTGGGCCGCAGAAGTCGAGAAGAGGGATCTAAGCAAGGAGTGGCATGCAGTGAGTAATGCAAGTCATAGGGTGGTAGAGGAAATATTAGGAAAATCATCTGACCACTATGAGTGGAAGAAATTGCTCATGTGTATAGTGTCAGGAGCTTTAGGGTTAAGAAGAGTGAAGGCCGATCTTCCAAGTGGAGAAGTAGAAATTTGGGAGCAAGCAAACTGGCAGCTCGCCTTAAATAAAGGTATCCAATCTCCCTGGAACCAACAGGCAGCCGGTCAAGGGGCCTTGGTGGCATTGACTTGTTTAATAAGGGCCTTACTAGGGAACCGAAGGGGCGGTCCAGAAGTAAGTCAAGGAACAGAGGAATTATGCCAAAATCTCTGGTCCTTGGTAAAAATTAACACGCGACAACCAGACCAAGGTGAAACCACCAAGGACATCAAATCACTAGGCCAGTTCCTGAACCTGCTCCCCGAGAACCCGGAGGGAGGGAGCCTACGGTATGGTAGTTTGGGGCTTCTGTTGAGTATATATTATGGGATGAATAAATGCTGTAAGAGGGAAGCCCCTTTTGAATTAACAGGATTAGTTGATAAGGGCAGCTGGGAATTGGGGGGTATGGGAGCATGTACAATAAATCAGGACGTTCTTAGCTGTAGTGGGGATTATTCACAGCGAGACCAAAACAGACTGACAATATGGAAGGCTGGTTCCAGCGTATTATTCAGCAAGACCCCCCAGAAGATAGGGTCAACAACAGGGCCCACATTGAAGGCACAGGATG